CCGTCTCTCTCTCTCTCTCTCTCTCTCTCTCTAACTAATATCTCTCTCTCTCTCTCTCTCTCTCTCTCTCTCTCTCTCTCAGTGACCCTAGGTTGGGCAACGGGCCGGCTGACCAGGCTATGTCAGGCTCAGCCCTACCCAACATATTATCTTCTTCTTTTTTGTTGAACATTCACAAAAGTTTTTCATTCATCTCAAAATAGATTTACAATGTATACAAGAGGAAAACAAAGAATTAAAAAAAATTGACAACCACTAAGTCATGATTGACACCACTCTTGGTAGCAATATGCTTCTTCATTAGCCACCCTGTAACAATGACATATCTCAACCTATTGCGACGAAAGAATATCTTTAATTTTATGAAATTAAGATCTTAATCATCTAGATTGAATTTTTATCGTGCTAGGTAATTCCTATGCCAGTCAAGCTCATTGCGAGGCCTATAAGTGCTCTCTTTTGACAATGGATTCTCCTACCACTTCCAACCTTTTGATTCACTTAGAGTATTTTGATCATGACTGCCATTGGCATTGCATGCGGGATTAACATAACAATAATTATTACGGCTAGAGATTCAGTAAACCTCAGTTTACCGTTTCCTTCTCAACTCACATTTGAATGAGTCATATCTCATTCAATTTGTATTGATGCATAGATCCCTACAATTAAGGGATTGCAACCTTTAGGATTTGTATTACTGTATAGATCCCTACAATTACAGGATTTCAGACTCTTGTATTATCTACAAATATCCCTTTTTGGGTGGTACGCATTATTGAAAATTTTGTTTCTATTCAAATCGCTCCTCCAAACTTTCTCATGGTATCAGAGCATAAATTTTTTCCAGCAAGCAGTGATGATTAGGCGGAGAAAGTGTTGAAGAAAGCCATTAGATAACCATCCTGCGTACTTTGTTGAAGACATTAGCCCCTCAGATTTCCATTTAAGCTTTGAGTTTTGGAAGACTATTGAGTTGCAGACACATGCAATATATATTTTCAGGAGAGCCATTGCATGGATAGCCAATTGCAAGGCCATCCCAGTGTTTGCGATGCTCTCTTCATTGTTGCTTGGCAACGTTCGCAATAGGAAACCCGTCTCTCTCTCTAAGGTTTTCGAAACCACTTTTTTGTTATTGGGTCTTCAAAATTGGCCATATTTTTTTGGTAGTATGGGTTTCTCTCTCTACCCGCTGTTGCTTTAGAGAAAGCAAATTCCACTGCTGCTTGAAGCCTCTTCTCAGCCCTTTTTGGTAGCACGAGTTTCTGTCTCTACCCGCTGCTGTCTAGAAAGCAAGTCATCAAAAAAAAATCTCTACCGTTATTTTCTCTACAACTGTCTTTCTTTTTCAATCATGTCCACTGTACCATATGGAGAAGTTACTGATCCTTCTTCTCCCTTCTATCTTCATCACTCCAACAACCAGGGAATGTTGCTAGTTTCTCAACAACTCACTGGAGAAAATTACCCACTCTGGAAGAGAGCCATGAAGACTACTCTCGGTGCCAAGAACAAACTTGGTTTCATCAACAGCACCATTGCTTAGCTAAAGGAAGGTGCATCCAACCATGTTGCTTGGAATCGTTGCAATACCATGGTCTTATCCAAGATTTGGGATGTTGTTTGCAAGGATCTCACCAACAGTGTTGTCTACTTTGAAACTGCTCAAGAAGCATGGATGGACCTGCAAGAACGCTTTTCACAAGGTAATGCTGCTCAGATTTATCGCATTACTCGTGACATTTCAAATCACGTTCAGGATCAACTGACTGTCCTGCAATATTTCACCACACTTAAAGGATTTTGGGATGATATTGATTCCCTAACTATCACCCCAAAATGGTCATGTGGTGCAGTCAAAGAAATCACCCAATTGAAACAAAATGAAATGGTCTTTCAGTTCTTGATGGGTTTGAATGACTCTTTTTCCAATGTGAGGAGCAATATCCTTACTATGGATCCATTGCCTTCCATGAACAAAGCATATGCTTTGATTCTTCAAGATGAACGGTAACGAGTAGTTCAACTTCGTTCTGCACATCCCTTGGAAGGAGTTGTCATAGCTACGGGTAACTTCGATGGAAATGGTCGTGGCAGAGCTCGTTCAGACAACAATTATGCCAACCAATTTCGCGGAAGGGGCAATGGATGTGGAGGCCGAAGATGCGACAGACCCCGTTTTGATCACTGCGGATATTTTGGCCATGTCCGGGATCAATGTCACAAACTCCATGGATGGAAAACTCCTCGTAACAATGTCACTGCTGCAAACACTAGCAACAAGGATAATAATAGATCGGTCGAAAACTCTATAGTTGTTCACCTCTCTCCAGAGCAACATTCCCAACTTATGTCCTTGTTGAACATTGACAATAGCATATCATCAGCCAACCTGGTAGGTATGACTATGTCTTGTGCTTCCTACCATCTCTTTCATCACGGATCATTGATACATGGGCATCTAATCACATGCCATCCTCATTAGACCTTTTATCAAGTACAAAAACTATACATCCAAACCAGAATGTCAGACTTCCAAATGGTGATATAGTTAACGTTTCTCATAAATGAAATTGCTCCCTTTCACCATCATTACAACTTATTGATGTTTATATCTACCTTCTTTTGACTTGAACCTATTATCCGTGAATAAGCTAACCAAATCTCATAATTGTGCTGCTATTTTTTTTCTATGATTTCTGTGTACTTCAGGACCTAGCAACGAAGACGGTGATTGGTCTAGGTCAACGTGACTTCGCTTCCAAGCTGGCCTACCCATCATTTTCTGGGGAGAATGTGTTTTACCCGTCAGATACCTAATATACCGATTACCTCCCTCTGTTTTACAAAGACGCTCACTCAAAATACATGATAAGTTTTTTCCTCGTGCACGCATGTATATCTTTACTGGGTACCCCTATGGTCAGAAAGGATACATGCTCTATGACTTAGATGACCACAAATTTAGTGTCAATCGAGATGCCACTTTCCACGAGACTATCTTCCCATTTCTTATTGAGAAAGGCAAAACCAAGGACCTCTGTCCTTCTTCGTCTATGCCCCTCCCACTCATTGAGGACATTGAGATAAATTATCTTCCTTCACCTTCTCAATTAACTTCTGTTGTGCCTTCTTCTCCTTACCCCAACCCTTCCGCTCAACTTTCCGAATTGCCACCACCTACCCCAATTACGAATTTGCCATCATCTGAACCAACGCCATTGGATCCAATCCCTCCTACCAATGAACAACCTTGCAAATCCTCAATAATGCCTTGTCCGCCCGAGTGGCTTGCAGATTATCAATGCGCTCCAACACTCTCTTCACCTATGACCAATACCACATCTTCACATGGTCAACCAACAGATATCACCTATCCCTTTGCTCATTACATATCTTATGATTGATTTTCCTCCTCACACCGTGTCTTCCTTGCTTCCATATCATCTAACCATGAGCCCAGAAATTTTACCATTGCCATAAAAGATACCTGTTGGAGAGATATCATGACTGCAGAGATAAGAGCTCTTGAATCCAACAATACTTGGACCGTCACACCCTTGTCATACGGTAAACATGCCATTGGGTGCAAGTGGGTGTACAAAATCAGATACCATGCAGATGGAAGTTTTAAATGCTACAAAGTACGGCTTGTAGCAAAAGGTTACTCCCAAGCCGAAGGCACTGATTACCACGAGACATTCGCTCATGTGGCCAAACTTGTCACCGTCTGATGCCTCCTTATCATTGCAATTTCTAAATCCTAGCCTTTGTTCCAATTAGATGTCAACAATGCATTCCTCCACGGTGACCTAGCTGAAGAAGTATACATGCACTTGCCTCCTGGATTTCTTCAAAAGGAGGAGTATGAAGAACAACTTATTTGTCGCCTAAAGAAATCTCTATACGGCCTCAAACAAGAATCTCGAAATTGGTTTTCCAAATTCTCTACTTCTCTTATTCAAGCAGGTTTTCAACAATTCAAGGTAGACTATTCCATGTTCACTCTCAGAACTCAAGACCGTATTACAGTCATTCTTATCTATATTGATGACATCATTCTCACCAGGAATGATCCTTCTACAATTGATTCCTTAAAACGGATTTTGCACCGTCAGTTCTTATTAAAGGTTCTCGGATTCCTTAAGTATTTTTTTGGAATCGAAGTAGCTAGATCAAAAGAAGGAATATTTCTCTCCCAACGAAGATAACCTTTGGACATTTTGGAAGAAATAGGCTTACTCAAGGCAAAACCCACCGCATTTCCAATAGAACAAAATCTGAAACTCAATGCGGACGATGGAGCTCTTCTTTAGACCCAAGCTCTTATCGACGACTTGTTGGGCACTTGATTTACTTAACTATTACCCGACCGAAAATCACATTCTCTGTCAATGTCCTCAGTCAATTCATGCAAATACCGAGACAACCTCCTATGGATGCAGCTATGCGTGTTCTCAGATATTTAAAATCAAATCCCGAAAAAAGCATCATCATGCCATCGTCAAATTCCTTGCAGCTCTCTGCATATTGCAACTCATACTGGGCTAGCAGCCCTACTACTCGTCATTCTGTAACCAGATATTGTACATTTCTTGGAAACAGCCCCATCTCTTAACGAATTAAGAAATAATTCACCGTATCTCACTCATCTGCCAAAGCCGAGTATCGGGCCATGGCCACCACTACGTGTGAACTCATTTAGCTTAAAAATCCCCTTCAACATTTAAGAGTTCTACATTCATTGCCCATGCTCCTCTACTGTGATAATCAAGCTGCCTTACACATTGCATCTAATCTTGTGTTTCACGAACGCACCAAACACATAGAGCTGGATTGTTATGTTGTTCGTGAGAAGTTACTTGCAGGCATCATCCAAACTCAATAACTCCAAACAAGTAATCAACGAGCATAAGTATTTACCAAGCCTCTCAAAAAAGAGAAATTTACTTATTTACAATCCAAGTTGAGTGTCATCGATTTACACATATCAACTTGAGGGTAAGTCTTACGGCTAGAGACTCAGTAAACCTCAGTTTACCGTTTCCTTCTCAACCCACATTTGAATGAGTTATATCTCATTCAATTTGCATTGATGCATAGATCCCTACAATTAAGGGAATGCAACCTTTAGGATTTGTATTGTTGTATAGATCCCTACAATTACGGGATTTCAAACTCTTGAACTATCTACAAATACTCCTTTTTTGGTAGTACGCATTATTGGAAAATTTGTTTCTATTCAAATCGCTCCTCCAAAGTTTCACAATAATCTACAATTTGAAACTTGAAATTGGGCTTGTATTGGTTTTTGGGAACCAACACAGCTTTATTACCCGTTGTTTATGGTGAACCGGCCACTATAACAAATCTAATACTCCGTGAGTGTATCCCAACTATATTGTATAAGTTATATATACAATAATATGTCTATTTTATCACAAATGGGTTCCAATTGCTTGCTATTAGCATGCAGTGTTACTTTCCCTTTTGTTGAGGGTACAAGCCCCCTTGTAAACACTACCTCACTTTTTTAAGGGTGTGATTTGCATAAGATTGCAACCTTAAATAATCAAAATAAAGTGCACTTCCAAACTTTATCATCATATGCAGTTTGGGTGTCAAAAATTCTTGGAATGGTGTGAGAATCTATTTTTATCTCTAATTATAAAATTTTAAATGTAAAAAATAGTTCAAATCAAGTAGAACTATATACGCATGAAAATCTTGAAAATAAATAGCTCAGATAATGTGTTGCAAGATGTACTATTTATAGGAATTGAAATCTATTTTTTTCTCTATATCTCGATGTTGAGTTGATCAATTAGATGTTTTTCCAACATCAAAACAATCTTTTTCAAATGATTTTAGGGGTGTACTTTAATTCTACATTTTAAGGTATCAATGTCATTTAAACTATTTCCTTTTTTAAAAAACATAACCCTTTTTTGAGGATATCAAATGAGCAAGAGTTTCAAAAAACAAAGGGCATGCTTGAGAATCGAGCACTTGACCTATTGGCTGAGGAGGTATATCAAGAGTACAATAGCTAACTAATAAGTGTTTTTGCATTTGACGAAATAAACTGGAATGTTATATATATTCTTTATATTTTTATTTTTATTTTTTCAGTTAGACTGAACTCGGGCAAGTAACTTGTCTCGGTCAAAGGCCAAGCACCTCGACCGAGGTGAGTCTCAGTATCTTGCTTGAAACCTACTCTCGTATTATGGGCAAGTCTTAAGAAATTGAAACACTAAAAAAACAATATTTAATGTTATAGAGATACAAAATAGGAAAACTCAATCTAAACACCATCAAATATATGTGACTCTATCAAGGCAACTAGCAAGGAAATGATTTCATTATCCCAGAAGAACTACAAGATTGGGTAATTACAATGCTTACCTCACAATCAATGTACTACCATTGATTTCCTTTTCCACTACTACAAAAGAATCATCGAATCAATCTTCATTGTTGAAACACCACGATTCTGACTATAATGGAAAACACCGATGCAACCATCCAGCTCTCTCTTTCACAATATCTCCTTTCTCTCTCCACATGATGGCTTATACCAAAATAGTTTTTATAACGACAAGAAGTGCCATAATAATGAGAGAAATTCATTAGGGGCAATATTGTATCACATACTCAACAATCTCCATGTTGATATAAAATCGCACCCATTACCTTACTTATCATATTTGATTATTCTTTTGTTGATGAACTTATTGAGGATTGATGTCTTGTATTATGAGAAAATATATATGCCAAAGGTAGAGTCAAAGAGACGACTCCGGATGACCGTTAAAAGCCCGAAGGGCTTGAAGCTCGGAGGAGTCATCCTGTTAGGTAGACTCGATGGACTCGGCGCCTGCGGGGGTTGAGGGGCGACAGCCCCCGAGAGAAATTTTTATATCCGTACATAGGGTATTTCGGTAATCTGTACCATCTACCTGGGACTCTATATATTGTAGCGATAGGGGTTTTTTTTAGGGTTAAGAAAAAAACACAAATTTCTTTGTAATCAGAGAGAATAGAGAGGTGTGAGAAAGAGAGCTATTGTAACCCTATTCTCCATTGCTAGTAAAGAAGCTCTCATCTCCCTGTAGATGTAGGCACATTGCCGAACTACGTATATCTTTGCATTGTGGTTGGTTGTCTCTTTCATTTGTGTTTGTTTCATCTTTCTTGTTTTTATGGATTGCTTTTAGGGTTTTCTACAGAACCTAAAGAACTTAACAAACACGTGAACATGCATTGCTCACCTTCTTTTGCATTTATCCTTTTTATGCAAAGTTCACCTTTTTCTGATGCTTGAGTTCTTGAGGCAATTTCACCCTCACACATGATTTAGGTAAAACCTTTCCCACACAACTACGTTGTACAACCGACCTTCACACATGATTTAAGTAAAACCTTTCCCACACAACTACGCTTCACAACTGACCTTTACACATGATTTAGGTAAAACCTTTCCTACACAACTGCGTCAAGTGATAGTTGATTTCATTTTACTAAGATCCTTTGTATAAGTCATTCTCACAAAACTTTGCTTATGTTCACAACCTTGGCAATACTTTCCCATACTTTTTTAATTGCGATACACCCATTTTGCTCCATTTCAAATTATCATTCATTGATTAACCACAAGCTAGATAAGAAAACAACAAAAAAGTAAAATAACAAAAAGCATACTCAATTATCAAAATTAACAATAGAGTAGTATAAAACACTAAATAAATTAGACGTTCACCAATTTTTTAACAGTAACTCAAAAAGAATTCACGAAGTGTTTTCGGCTTTGCATCTTCTTGGGAAAGCTCTAAATCTTCATATTCTATACCTTACAGAATAACCTTGCTTTGCACCACTAATATCTTTTATTGCCAAGTCATGCATCCCTCTTTGAGCTTCATATTGCACTACAACTAAATTTATATTTTATTGAACAATTGTACTACCTAATAATTTATATAAGTTTATTTCTTGGACTTTCTTCATTATAACTAGAGCCCCTTTTGAATTGCTCCGTCTTCTATATCTAGATAAGAAAGTGAAATCAAACTCTTTTTCAAATCTATTACATGTCTCGTATTTTCAAGTTCAAACCATCCCATAACACGTCGTTATACAAATCAAGCCCATTTTAATCCTTTCACTCATTAAATTATTTCCCATTGATGCCAGTCTTCCCTCACATGGCTTGTATGCATCAAACTATAATTATTGTGGGCACATATGATATGTGACTCCATTATCAAGAATCTAACTTTGATAATACATGATATTGTATCCCACCATCAATACCACATCTTCATTACAATTGGATGTTGATTATTCAACTTGTTGAACCTCATTCTTGGCTTCACCTGTTGGTCTTGGCTTCACCATCTTGTTCTTGGCTTCACCATGCCGTTCCATTCCCAAACTAGAAATCTTTGAGGAATCAACCCTTTCTCTTTTCCAATATTCTTTTTTTATGTGGCAAGTTTTGCCACAAAACCAACGACCCCTTTTGTCATGAGATCCCCTCGACTTTGACTATAAATAACCCCTGCCACATGGGAAATTCCTTGATGAACCACGGCATTTATCCAACCATCATCTTGCTATAAGATCATCCATTCTTGAACCCATTGAACTTTCCATTAACACCTTTTGGAGTTCATTAGCAAGGAGAGTGCTACAAACCAAATTCAATTTGGGGGATCTTCTTCCTTAGTATAACTTAAGGTAATAGCAACATTATCATATGGTTCTAATGACAAACAATGTTTCGAACTCATCTTCCTCATCTATCTTCACTCTGATACTCTTGGGTTCGCAAATCGTTTTGCCAAATTCATTCAAGTGTTCTGATAATTTTATGTCATCTCTCATCCTCAAAAATAATTTTCTTTTAAAAGAAATTATTTTGTGGGGGATTTGGTTTGGTATAAGCTTTTTAACTTTGCCCATGAATCACTTTTCATCGTTTCTCCAACTATATTAAGTAGTATTCTATTTAGTCCTTATCCAACTCTTCTTAATCATCATCTTTCATTTTATTCGGCTACTTAGAGTTTTATTTGCTATGCTTTATAAAGACCTTGTTATACCAATATATCATAAACTTTTATTTTGAAATTCATAATCTTTTCTCTCATTCAAATTTTCTAGTTCAATTTTGTAAGTTGTTATTTTCCCCAAAAGCTACACACTTAATGGGGGTTCCCTTATTGCAGAGAATCCCCCAGTACAAAAAATCTAAGACCTAGAACCTAAGTTGCTATTATCACCAGCCATCTGATTTCAAGAATCCAAATGCCCAATAACAATATTGGTGTATTAAATTAGGAGAAAATAACTTGAAATCAAGATAAACAAAATAGGGAAACTCAGAATGACATTACATACTATAATCCAATCACCATCAATACACAAATATATATTGTTCACCCTAATCGAGCTACATCCACGAGTAATTGGTAGGAAAATGATTCTATGATCATGAAAGAATTACATGATTGGGTAAGTATAAAGGTTCTAACAATCGGTTAATCACTACTAATTCTCCTTTCTACCATTACAAAAGAACCAAGAAACCAACCTTTATTTTTTACTCCATCATCATGGTTCCACACGGAAAATGCTGATGAAACCACCCAAAATAGGGTGCAATGATAACTAGGGCTTTGCTCAAAATCCCTAATGTCAACCTCAACCAGAGCTTTCCGTCCTGAGTTCTCCTTTCGCTCTATAAAGCCCCCATTAAAAAGTCGTTTACATTATGACCAAAAAATACCCGTAACAATGCCAGAAATCCATTACCAACCTTATCAAATAAATCCAATTAAGGGTATCTGAATTAGGCGATCCAAGTTGACCCAATTAAGTTCATTGAACCTTTGTTCACAGTTCACACTGCAAACTTAATCTTCGCTTGGTCATCCAAAACCGGTTTCTTAGCCTCTAGAAGCGCTCATCCTCTTGGGCTAATCCATGTTCTTTTCCTTTCCACCTCTTCTCTCCTATCATCAGCTTACTCTTATATCCAACCCTAGCCATGTAAACAAAGGCAAGAAAATCTGGTTTCTAATCTAAGGGCCTATTTGGTAGGATGAATTCTACTTAGAGAGATTTTTGAAATTCAAAACCTGGGCCCTTCCCATTCTTACAATTTCAGATTATGTAATTGTTTGAGTAAACAAAATGACGATTTCGGCATGGAATTTCCGTTCTTAGAATGTTTCTCTAAACTTGTTATTTTGAAGATCCAAGATTTTATTTGATGTATGGATTTCAAGCCTCAGTCTCTCCTATACCATTCATATAAAACAATGGTTTTAACTCTACCGAACATGGTTTTGGGGATTCCAGAAGACTAGACTCGCTCCAACTATGCTAGTGATATGCAGAAGCACCATTAACATCAATGCTAAAATAACCCTAGGCTGGACCCATGATACGGAGTCATGACCATGGAAGCTGGTTTCTTCTGCATAAAATAGGGAGCACCAAAATCTTCAAGGAACTTTACCGGATGATCTCATTAAGCTTTCAGTTCTGGTTAGGCTTGAGCTCCAAGCAAACAAGCTTTCAGGGCCATTGCCTACTCTCAAAGTTCTCAGCTCTTTTAGAGCCCTTACTCTGGAAAACAACAGTTAGTTCTTAAATGTATTTTCCTTTTCTTTAATGTCTCAGTCTCTCTTTTAGTTCTAAAACATTAGCCAAATGAATTCGAAGTTTCACAGCATTTTCTGGCCAGAATTTCTCATTCAATCCTACCATTTTGGCACAAAAGCTTAATTTTCATATAAGCGAAGCGGGGAATTGAGATTGGTGTTTGTTCAAAATTTCTTTCAAAGAAAGTGAGATCTCAATCTATCCATTCGTTGGAATTTTATAGTATGCGGTCGGAGAGATGGGAAGCAACTGGTCATTCATTTCAGTAAGACCACAGTAAGGTCGAAGAAGGTCAGCCATGAAGCACTGGGAGCCTGTCCCTGCAGCTCAAGAGGCTAGTGCAGGTTACAAGGGGGTCACGACTACCCAGTTTGAGCTAGCACACACTGAAACTCCAGCTGTTGTGATAGCATATCATTCTGATCACCCATCAGTGACTGATTTCTTTGCTGGTTTCATTTTCTGTTCCTTTGGTTTGCTTTGGAATGCCACATTGTTTGATTTGACTTTCACCAAAGAAAATTTGGGTACCATATTTTACTGGTTTAGGTTCCCCAGTCAAAGAAAAGTGCACCATATCACCGGTGCTACTGAACAGAAGCTAAAACCCTAATGATGCTATTGTTAATGGCTAATTTTTGGGTTTAGGGAAACTGATATGAGTCTGCGGTTCAATTAGCTCTGAGAGGGCTTTGAATAATTCTTACTAAAACATTGACTTATGGAAATATGGGTTTCGAGAAACATCATATTTGGGTTTCCATGGATATCTGTTTGATTGCCCACAATGGAAATGGGAACTACAGGAATGCCTCCATGATTTTTCAAACTGATTTCCAAAGAGGCAAGAAAAGAAACTCAAAAACAGGAGCATTTGATTTTCAATAACCATAGGTTTTGAAAATCAAATATTCTGAATTCTCTCCTAGCCAAATGGGCCCTGAAAGGCTTTCCAATTGCTCCCCACTTAGTCATCCTAACCATTGCTAAATAGTAATAGGAGTAAGTCATCTAGCAATCACTTGACAAGATTGATCATCTGCTACCTTCTTTTTTAAAAAACCATTGGTAAGAAAAGATGTAGTCCACGGCTATGACCTGCATTACTAATGCGGTTAGGGCACATCTTAAGCATGAAACTAACATGTCTATGTTACCAAGTCACGGAAAGGATCAATAAATACAATTAATACTGGAAAAACAAAAAGTATAAACCAGTTTCGGTTGTGGAATCATTCAATCCTTCGAAGAAAAATGGTTTGATAGGGCCGTACCTCTATCAAAACAAGTAAAGCCTCACCTCATAACTCATCAAAAATTGCAATTCAAACATTAGAAAACCTTTACATCCATCATCTTGGCTTGAACATTCTAGTTGTAAAACAAAAAAGATTTCAAACGCTAAAAATAGTGTATATAGTAATAAATTATCTAGATTGTGCATTTTGCTTTAAAAATGTGTTCATAGATCCGAAAAATCTATACCATTTTTTGAACTTTGAATTTCATTGCTGGTGTTGGAAATTGATTCCAGAGCCATCATGGAAATTTACGTTGCCGAAAGTGCTTTCTAGATGAGGATTTGAGGTGACGGTTTATTCTATTTTCACAAAGCTTATAGAAAGCTCATCCTTATTTAAGTATACTAAATACAATAAAAATACATATGAGGGAATCTAAGAAGGGATCGTTACAGTCACAGAAAAAGCTAATCTTAACATCCAAGGCAAGGAGCTCAAATTCAAACGAAATTTCTCCCAAAACTCCCGAATCCCACAAAATTTATAACTAAACAAATACCCAAAAAAAAAAAAAGAAGAAATGGAAAAAAATGTATGACCAAAAAAAAAAACCAGGGGTGTCATCATCTAATATTAGCTCCGATGAAATTACCCTTTGCATCCCAAGGGCGGTTTTCGAATGACTTTCCAATGATGCTGCGCTTCTTGCTTATAGATCCATCCACACATCGATATTCAGGGAAATAATCTAGAAAACTTTTGCTCCCCAGGGTATTGACCCCATTGAATAGAAAGTTCCAAACCAAATCCTATTTAAAAATGAAAATGAAATTGAATAGCCACAATAAATCATACTTGCAAAAAACGACTGCACGTCTGATAAATATAGAATCTGAGATGAGTACTTCTAAAAATAAATATAGAATCTGAGATGAGTACTTCTAAAACCTACTAATCTTAAAAAGCTACCTGTGCAAGACTTTCCCCAAGCAATTTCTTCAAAAGCTGGTGGCCAGGATCCTAATTTACCATAATAACTTAATCAAACATGTATAAAATCTAGTAAATTTGTGCTTAGGAAGATGAAAAACAATGGAAATATCATCAAAGAAATGGCCATTGGCAGAGGTGGTCAGGATGGAGGGTGCCACAACGTGACGTCTAGAGTTTCATTCTCACTAAGGCCCCAAGTTAACAATAACAACAACAACGATGATGTTGATGATCATGATGATGATGATGATAATAGCAACCAATGGTTACACAAACTCACTAAGGCCCAAGTTAACAATAACAACAACAACGATGATGTTGATGATGATGATGATTATAGAAACCAATGGTTACACAAACAAAAGGCACGTGAAAGAAGGGCAAAGGAAGAGAAATCACCTTTTCTGCTCGCCATATTAGGTACTTGTGTTGTGCTTCACAGTTCCTATGAAGCTGTGATGCATTGGTTTCTACTTTTGCCTGGTCCATTAGCTGAAGCCATGCCTGTCATGTTTAATAAAGCTAGTAACACTTATCTACCGTTATTGGAAGAGTCACAATAATTTATCATACTTTTAAAAGTGGGTGTTGGAAATCAATAAACAACTTGGCTAGTAATCCTAGGATGGGTTGCTCGAAAATAACTCCTCGTGCATTTTAAAAAACACAACACCTTTAATTTGTATCTAAACTGGAATACATAAAAATACAACTCGGTTAGTAATCCTGGGATGGGTTGCTCAAAAATAACTCCTCGTGCATATTTAAAAAGCACAACACCTTTAATTTGTATCTAACCTGGAAAACATAAAAATAAGTAGATAGTTAACTTATCAAACATAAAAAGAAAATTGTTTCATACGGGCTGGACAGCGTGACTACATATGCGGTACAAAAAGTGTAAAGCATCTATCTTAAAGATGGATGAAAGTAGGTGTTCCATCTAAAAACAATGGAAACTAACGGTCCAAATGTTTTCTTACTAAATTATTTGTAGTTTTTAAATTTTACTTATTTTTTCATATTCATGATCTCCATGTTAGAGATTACATATCCTTAAAAATTAAGTCCAAAAATCCATCTCAAAAATAGATTTATTAATAAGCCCTCATTTCTACATATGCGGGCTTGGCCACATAGAAACCGGGTCCAACATAAAAAGCAGATAGTTGAGAATTCATAAGGTTTTCCTAACATTTTTCCTCATCCATCCAATCCTGATGTTTTAGCTTCTTAATAATCATTTCTGATTACTGTTAGCCTGTGGACTGGAAAGGGCTTCCGTTGAGAAATGGTAAAAGAAGTTCATACCTTGAAATACTCCTTAAATGCAGCGAAGAGTATGTCATGTAAATGTTGGTCTGAACAGAACTTGGACCAAATCACAATTGGTGAGAAGAATCCCAATGACTCACCTGTGATCTTGCTACCCCAGGGTAAAAGCTGCACAAAATCCGTATATATTTGGTGTGATTATACTCAAAACCATAAAGAAGAAACCACAAATAAGAGTCTGTATACCAAGCTGGTTGTGCAATTTGCTTTGCTCACCTCAGCGTATTTTTGCCCTAGAGGCATTAAATTTTTATAGTATTTGGCTTTGTAGTCTTCTGTATCTATCACGTCATGCAGAGGATTCAGGTCCCTAGAAAAACCAAATATGTTACATTTCAAAATCCCATAACTTGAAAACATGGAGAGAGAAACATGCAAACAGATTACAAACAGTGTCAGTTCGCAATGTTGTTATCTGTAACTTTCATGAATAAAAGATTCAAAGTATAAAGGCAGAAAATGCTCTTCTAGTTCATCCTAAAGAGAACAAGGGTCAAAACAGACTTCAACAGCTAGAGAAAGGTTCTTGTACAAGTAAGCAAGATAAACCCGTTTGAGTTAGTGTGACCGTGGTGTGATTGTTTGCCTTTTGGTATGCACAGATACGCAAACACACACAGATGAAATCATGTGTTTAAGTTAAAGTTATTTGAGACGCTGAAACCCTACGCTATATAATTACTTAAGACTCTGACTCAATCACAACCACTTCAGATCCATGGGCCTTATCCATGATATTCATATTCCTAAATGGATCAGGATCAATGAAATTTTCAATTTATGAGGTCCAATGCACTCTTGGCTTTTAAGCATCATCGGTAGTAACTAGCATATTTAGACAATACTGGTTAGGAGGGATAATTTGGTATAAGTGGAAGGGGCTCTAAACAGGCAAAGGGAAGGCCCAACACAATATGGATGGAGGAAGTGAGATGAGATATGGTGATTTATGGTCTGGCTGAGGATATGGCCCTTGATTAAGCAGAATAGCGAACAAGATTTGTATAGCCGACCCTAAATAGTTAGTATAAGGCTCGGATGATGATGATGAGTTGTAATTAACATAGAGGATATTGAAGCAACTAAAAATTTAAGCTAAACAAAGGCAGCAAAGGCCCGAAGGAAGTAAGCCTAAACTTAGCTTACATGTTCAATATAAATACTGTCAAGAAACCCACATTCTAAAAGGTGCAAAAAGGAGCAAATTTGGGAAACAAGAAGTCATTAACGATTGCCGAACTAAACATATGACCAAACAGGATCACAAGTATGCATGAGTTATGCAGTTAGCTTCATTATGAATCAAAATTAAGACTAGAAAAAGTCAGATTTCAAATTGTTGTAAGAGATGTACAAAGCTTTGAAATCAAATGCTTCCTCATGCAGTTAATGTCACCTGAGAATTAGATAATGTGCCATTATGGTGTGTCCAGAAGAGAAAAAGCAGTTCCAACAAGAGATTATTCCAAAAGTCATTGCCGTCCTAATTTGTACTTGAAAGGTCTAAAAGGGTGGATATGTTTTCGATTAATTCAAGTACTCTACTATTTAGGTGGTCAATACTGCATGCCTCATTGACATAAAGTTGAACACTGGCATTATATACACATGAGAGATGGCCATCTACTTCTCGATACCATTACTAGAAGGCATGTTACCCTTCATCACAAAGGAATGAAGGCTGATATCAGATTTAGTAGCTGAATAATATGGTCACATTAAAATATTCTTGTGTTAGCATGATGCATGAAGAACAACCATGCACATAAAAACACAATTTCACTGTTAGATAAACAAAGAAAATAACAAGTTTGCATAGTACTGATATTCAACACAATATATCATGAAAGAACGGCGAGAATAAGCAGGAAGAGCCCATAATCTGATGAGGGGCTTCAGAGGCCCATATGGTAATGGCTACATTGATTTATATGTCACATGCCAAAGAAGAATGAGAAGAAGCCCAAGAAACAGCAAAAATGAGCACGACCTCCACTGCGATGAAAGAAACATAACCATATCAACTAACAGGAAGCCACCATGTGATGGAAGATGAAGAAAGAGAAGCCTGGGAACCTTCATAAAAAAGAAGGGCTGGGTGATTTATTATAATTTCAATAAAAATTAAGCTGGTTTTCTATGAATGTACGAAGTGTGTTGAAGCCTATTAATGCGCAATTGAAGAGAAGTTTGCATTTGATATCATTACATGTTCATATATTTCCTAAAAACATCAACAAGCAAAATTGTCATAATAATTTTGTGCATAAACCATCATATTGATCCATATGCATTAGATTGCATGGTACTAATGGACATGTCAGAGTAGTTCAGTCACATCATTAGTACATTAAGAGCAATAATATTCCTATGGTATCTATTTAGAAAAGAGATGGTAAATCATTTGGGTACTGAATGACATATGACCATTTCATGTACATTACAGGGGTGACCAAATACAATGTTATTTCTAGTTCTCCACTCTTTCTTTTTGGTCATTAATTTTCCTCAATTTCTTACAGAGAGGCTCAGTGATCTTTAAGGTAGACAATTCAGAAAACCTGGCACTATTAGTTATTCCACACCAGTTTATGCCTAGCTGGGCTTTGATGTTCCAAGGGGCCTTATTCCACCTAAGTCAAGTGAGCCAAGTTAGTGAGAACCCTCCAGGCAGGTGTCTCGTGACTGGGCCTAGGCTGCTGCCCCGACAACTAACCTGAGTTTCGCAAAATCTAATTTTTTCAGTTTTTGGTAGATCTATTTATCCAAAGTGTAAATTTGGCATTAAAACTAATTATTTAATCCTTATGTGGACATTGATTTGTACTAGAAATTTGATTTTTTTAGAAGAACCCTCGCATTTCTATTCATGAATTTATCCATTCGTTTCAATTCGTAGTATAAATTTGCAGAGATTTTTTGTGTAAAGCTTTCTGCGCGTTGTATCAAATTGCAGAGATCCCTGTACATCTTTGAAATCTGATTTTGTTTACATTATGGATATGAACCAGTCTGATAGTGAATGAAGATTTTCAGCACATTCTTCATATTTCAGCTCTTCCCACAGATCTCTAAGAACATTATTCACTCATACTCTTATTACCCCTGGTGCAATTTATATATTTTCTCAAACAAATCATATATCTAAGAGATGTTTGTATCTGATGAAATAATGTTTCTTTTAGAGTGTCCCAAATTCTTTAGCGGTGTCAAGAAACATCACATATCACATTGGCACCTATTTGAGCCTCCATACTACTTCATAATCAAGTCATAATTATGTAATTCTCTCTTATCCACTCTTCATATCTACTAGCAGACTCACGAGGCTTGTTCTCAATCAAGTATTTCAATTTCCCCCTTGCACCGAGGGATGTTTTAACAGATTAGGCCTATACAACAGTAAAAGGACTTATTTAATTTTACTTAATTAATTTGCATCCCCACATGATCAGGAATAGTGGAGGTTCAAACTTCAATTTCATTTGCTATGAGTGTATGAAATAAAAGAGGAGGCAACTGGAGTCAACTGAATACAATCACTCAGACCAAGCCTAGATTGCTAGGAACAATGTTAAAAAAAAAAAAGAAGAAGAAGAAGAAGAAGAAAGAGAGAGAGAGAGAGAGAGAGAGAGAGAGAGAGAGAGAGAGAGAGAGAGAGAGAGAGAGAGAGAGAGAGAGAGAGTAGTAGTAGAGTAGAGTAGAGAGTAGTAAGTACGTACGTACGTACGTAGTACGTAAGTAACGTAACGTACGTAACGTAACGTAACGTAACGTA